GCACGTCAACAACAGACGAAAACATTGATGAAGTGAAGAAAATAGTATTTTCCAATTTATTTTATGGCCAATCGGAACGGTCAATAAGGAATATTATCTGCAAGTTATACGCAATTTGCGCGAAGCAATCCGCCAGAAACGCCCAGATTTGTGGAAGAATAAAAATTGGCTTTTGCATCATGATAACGCCCCTGCTCACACATCGTTGCTTGTGCGCGAATTTTTGACCAAAAACAACACACTAATGATGCCGCAGCCACCGTATTCCCCAGATCTGGCCCCCTGTGACTTTTTCTTGTTCCCGAAACTGAAGAGGCCCATGAAAGGACGACGCTACGCTACGATTGAGGAGATAAAGACGGCATCGAAGGAGGAACTGAACAAGATCACAAAAAATAATTTTTTGAAGTGCTTCGAGGATTGGAAAAAACGTTGGCACAAGTGTATAATATCTGATGGGGATTACTTTGAAGGGGACAAAATAGATATTCATGAATAAATAAATTTAATGCAAAAATAATAGATTTCTTTTTATTGTACTACACCTTATATTTAAATAATGACTACCGAGAAGTTAATTTTACAATGATATAATTAAGAAAAAAAACTGGAGTGACACATTTTTGAATAAAATATAAATATAATTTTTTCAGGTAAATACAATAATACAATTTTTGGTTTTCTGGATTAAATGTACGCGTTTATCGATGTGTAAGAGTGTGTGTGTAAAGTATCATAGCAAAATGGAAGGGAGGAGTTACGGAGTAAATAATGAGAGAATAAAAAGAGAAGGAGGTAAGTGGATTTGAGAGGAACAAAGGGGGGAGGTGCTATTAATACTGGCTAGGATCATAGGGATTGAGGGAGAAAGGGTCAAGGGGGACAAGGGACGCTACCGGAACCGAGAACAGGCCATCGGATCCTGCGATCCTCACGGCTACCAAATCTTGGTTGGAGGGAGTAAAGTGTTGTGTACTCTAGGAGTTGCTGGGCATCATGGAAAAGAAGAGGAAAGGGGACAGCGGCAGAGTAGCCATTATGTGAGATTGAGGGGGTGGTATCAATTGGAAGGGGTGATGGTGGATGCGGGGGGAAATCTGCATCTGGGAAGGAGGAATCGGGGATAGATCGGAGATTGGGGAATATGAGATTTCGAGGGGTGGAGAGAGGGTTGCCAGGAGAAATTGTATGGGGGGAGTCGGTTCCGAGACTGTCGGTTGACTTTGGTGGTGGAAAATCCGGGCGCGGGCGGCGAGTCGGCGCGATCGGGTAGTTCTCGTCAGGCGGCGGCGACGAGGGGCAAACGAACGGCGTAAACGCACAAAAAAAATTTTATCTTTAACGTGGATCCCTAAAGAAAAGAAAGGAGGAAAGACGGGGAGGGACCACTCGATGTAAAATAGTTGGAAACTTACTGGCGATGCAAGATGGCCCTACCGCGGAGAGGGTGACGTCGGATGTTACTCAGCTTCGACGGACTTCCTCGATCAGGAAACAAGCTTTTGATTTAACTTGAATCCCGATGATACAATTGATCTCACTGATTCTATCGGGAACTTTGAGTAACGCGATCAATTCACTGACTTTATCGATAACCTTGAGTATCATAACCAACACACTGTCTCTATCGGGAACTTTGAGTATCGCGACCAACTCACTAACCCTATCGGGACAAATAAAACTCCGGAACTTAGAGAAAAATCTGCTATCTGATGCAAGGGTTGCGGAACCGCGATTTTTATACTAATCGTCCCAGATTACTCAAATTTGGATTGGTGGAATAGGTTTCGTTGGCTGGTAATAGGATTTTCTTTTGCTCTTGGATTGGTT